TAGACAAGTCAGTGAGGATCATATGCATCAATTTAATGCAAAAGTAGCCAATAAGTTCTAATGCCACCGAAATGCAAAAACTGTGGGTAAATTCATTCATATAGCATCAGGTATACAATTACAACTAATGAATAATTGAACTTTATATCGTTTTTATTTTTGTATTGCTTTTATAGATTTAGACGAAACAAAACGAATCAGACCATATGTGTAATATGAGTAGCTAGACGTTAGAATATTTCTATTTTTATAGTACAAGAAGATTTTAATTTATTTGATTCTTTCTTAGGTTGCTAATAGTGTTTTATGCATTTTCAGTTTGGTGTGGATTTATTACACCAATACCATGTCATCTATCCAGTCATTGTTTGAAATAATATAGTTGTTTGATGCTTTTTGGCAAATTTAATAAACAACACTTTTTATTGTATTCATTATGTGTCATATAAAAATGGTATTTACGAGTACTGAAACATTTGAATGGTAGATAATCAGTTTTAATGCATCAGCCGATTTAAAAAAGATCTGTCTCTACTATGTACGATGGTTATTTAAAAAAAATATTAGTGCTTCCTACAACAAAGTTCTTTATTAGCTAACAGTACGCCAAAAACGCCTTTCAAAATACTTTACATATTCTTCATCTGATCATCCATTTAGTAAATGCTATTTTGTTTGGTACTCATACACTGGTATACTAGGCTTCTAACCCCATGGTGGCTTTGCGATTCTCTACCTATAGCCTAATCTTTTATCTTTTATAACGGTATTCAGCCAAAGATCACTTAGAGCTGAACCAGAGCTGGATAATGTAATCCTTCGTAATGTTTCTCACGAAAGCGGATTCTTGCGGTAATGCGTTATCATTGAATATCGGTAGTGTTTCACAACTTTTCGCAACACTTTTGACGTATAAAAATGTGCATTGACAATAGCAGTCAGACACAGGTATCTGAATGTTCGGACCTTTTGGGTCGATAAATATGGTGACAAAAAGTGATAGCCCGACTAAGTGGGCGATCAGTCATCTCTGCTAATTTTCTCCGATCCAAACATAATTATTTTCTCTTAGGTCAGCTTAAAAAATGTCAATCTCTTTTTTATCACTTGCTGCAATCTCATCCAATGTCTCAGGTGCTTTTTCGTATTCGACGGGTAATTCTTTAGCGATTTCAACTTGTGCATGCTTTTTATCAGCCTTCAACAAACGCGGGATCCATCTTGCACAAACCTATTAAAGCTTCAAATGGTTCTTCAATATATTAATAACAGCTGACAAATTTTCATTCATTGAGTACGCGTTCTGTCACCATTTATTTGAACCGCTCCGGTGGCCTAGTGGCTAAAGCGTATGCCTCGAATGCGGTCGAATCATACCAAAGGCTTGCAAAAAAAGGTTTTAACAGCTGCCTGGCTTGACACTCAGCATTAAGAGGTTAATGTTAGGACTAGTCGGCCTGGTGTCAGAATAATGTGACTGATTGGGACATCATGCTACATGTCTGCGGTATGATGCCCCAGTGCTAGACATAACTATAAACTGCCACACTGCAGACATCGTAGCGATATGACTGAAAAATTGTTAAAGCTACGTTAAAAATTATAAACACCACACCATCACCATTTATTTGATACCATGTTTAAGATGAAACCGCCTCAAAATATACCATATGACAATTACGTTATCATTAACTGTCATTTACTTATGTTACTTCACAAACGTAGATCTGCAGGTGTAGGCTTTGCTGCACCTGTAGCTACCGAAACTTTTTGACAATAAAATGAACCTAAAATTATTATTCCAAGGCTTCGTATGCCAACCATTACACGTGAAGCAGCCTTCTGGTCCCGAAGGATGTTTGAGGTGGAGTGCTGTACACAATAAATTAAAGTCTAAAATTGAAGCCGATGAAGCCTGAATAGATCAGCACTTTCGCAACGTTAAGTACACCTACTCACTTCTTATGCATATTACCAACAGATACGTGTAAGCAAAACATGGCTGAAACGTTGCTGGTAAGCAAATTTGACACCAGTAATTCTACGGAAGATAATTACCTGTTTAGTAACAAAGAGAAAATGGTTGTCGGTAAGTTCCAAGATGATTGCTCGGAGAAACTTATGAAGGTTTGAGCCCCAAGATTTAGTCATCTATGGTTATGACTCCAAAACATGATAAAGGCTAAAATGCTCTCAAAAATGTATGCTTAATGTTTGCAGAAACGAAGTGAATTCGAACAAAAATTGAATATGATTTAGATAAAGAAACATCAAATGATTTTGTATCTTTACACTAAAATACGTTTTCCCCTGACACCAAACGGTAGATATTATGGCTACATGAGTTTTTTCACCAAGGTATTTAATCCATTGTTTTCTGGGTATCTTTTCTAATGCAATTCATAGGATTGCCGACATATTAAACACGAAAGTTGTTTTACCCGTGTGGTTCTCATACAAGAGAATTTCGTTGCTCCACACCGAAAACAAGTCCCAAAAAGCTCACTTCAATCACTACCTGTTTTGAACCCGTGCTGGATTTGCAGTATAAGTTTTATGCGGCATCGCAAACAGTAACAATACATGATTTTGTTATATAATAATTTATATTTAACTTGGCGTCACGAAAAATGGAAAGCTCTGCTCTTGATGTCAGTGACTTCTCTGCGAATGCAGACCAAATATTACCCAAGAATGGCGAAATGCAGGTTTCAAATTCAGTTATCACGTCGAACATGATCTTGATATGATTAGCATGGGGTCTGATGTACATTATTGAACCGTCAATTGAGGATATAACATGAAAATTTAATTTATTAGATAAAGCATAATTGTCAAAACTTGTCAGTTATGTTATGGCAGAATGTGGCCAGCGCACCGTCACAGCTGCCACAAATATATAGAACTGATTCATGCTATTATAACCAGTAGCAAACATAATGTTACAATCATAATGAAATGCACTGAAAGATCAAACAACGTTTGTGCCACTTGCTTTAGCAACCAACAAGTGAGACGGTGGAAGAGGAAACGAAAGGTACATAAACTACAGCGAAATTGCTGGGTCATTTTTGGCGGGACATATCAAACCATTGAACAGTTACCAGCACCGATTGATAAATTCCAATTCTGTGCCAAAGAAAATGATGAAAACATTAGAGCATCGCTTTGAAATCCTCTAAATCCATCACCTGTCGATACTAAACATAGACAAGAAAAAAAATTAGAACACCAGATCGTTAGTGGATCTTTGACAATTCTTTAATGGCAATTCTTGAGATTTTAATTTATATTTATTTTTGCTATTGGTATACATAAGACTAAAAGAAAGAAAATAATTCCTGCAAGTGGTAATCAGTTGGTAGGAACGACTATAGCAATAAAATTATGTATGCGGGATTTCTTTAAGTTCATCTGCTGAGAAAACATAATGGGAAAGTTAGCTTGTTGCAAGTCTATTATGTTGAAAATAGCACTCGAGCAGATTTCACAACCTGAGCCAAAGCTTGCACAAGTCCTTGACTCACAGACAGAAAGTTACAACTCGAGTAAATAAATGACGTCCTGAAAGGAGTTCCCGGGGAACTCTTCATTTATTATCAACGAATGGGTTATAGGCCTGTAGCAGTACTACGTTGAATCAGAAGGCGAAAGAACCTGTTATACTTAACAGAGTGACTCAGTGGAAGCAACGTTGTTGTGAATACTATCGCATCACGGTGCCTGATAAGCTTGCGCTAGAAACTTCCACTTTGTCCTTTTTAATGGTGTGGGTCTAAGAGCACACATTATTTCTAGGGAGATCAGAAACCTTGATTTCATAGTGATTAACCTCGTCTTAACGGCACAGCTGAAGAAAGCAATGCTTATAGTAGAAAACATCTTCAATAATAAACTGCGATGGAATCCACAAAGTAGCGACCAGGTTTCATGCCGATGCCATAATCATACTGCTCAACGCTCAGCCTCAAAAGATGTTTGAAAAACCTAATGATATTATATAAAAGCGCACTGAAAATTACATGCGTAAGAGGTCTGGTTGGTCATTTGCGTCTGTGAAGCTCCTAAAAATGGTGTGCTGCAAGAAATAAAAAGAGGCAGTATATTTAGCTTAACGATATACCCATTATGGAATACATGCAAAACAAACGCAAACAAAGTCCGAAGACTGTCTTTGCATCTTTAGCCAGGGCGACCTGTTGGAAGACCAAAACAATAAATGTCTCGCTATAAGCGAAAACCACAATATCATTATCGAAGAAAGACAGCGCAAGTTAGCCTTTTAAAACCAACACTGTCATATATGCGTGACCCATACATTATTTATGTGGACTTTGGAGCGGTGAACGTCCAGATGGAAGGCCCTGTCGACAAATCGAATAAAAAGAGGAGACTGAAAATCTATTACCAGCTATAATTTGGTTTCTGCTGTAATGTGATCTCCGAAAAGCCATTGTTATACCGAAGTAATGAGATATAGGGTATCAGAGAGTTGCATCGAAACCACAAATATAATCATCGGAAGAAACTACTGCATGGACGTTTCAAAAGCGAGAATCTGGAATGCCACACATCCGTAATAGATAACTTGATATAGACAGCGTTTACTTTACGGGCGACAGAATCACGTCAAATGTTGCGATGACTACCATAAATTTATCTGGATTGTATTAACACAACACTTACAAATCAATGATTTTACACCCAGCCATGACAATAATACCGTCATCCTCCTTTTATTTTATTAAACTCCGGATGACTGATAGTTGTAGATGTGTTTGTGGTTTGGATTTTAATGTAGCTTTAACATTTTTTTTGTCCTATCGCAACGATGTCTGCATTGTATCGGTTGTTAGTGATGTCTATCACTGAGGCATTAAAACATAATGTCCCACCCAGTCAAATTATCCTGACACCAGGCTGACCAGTCCTAACACTAACCTCTTAATGCTGAGTTTCAAACGAGGCAGCTGTTAGTACCATTTTTGTAAGTCTTTGGTATGACTCAGTCGGGGTCGAATCCACGATCTTCCGCATTTGAGGCGGGCGCTCTAACCACTAGGCCACCAGAGTGGTTGATGATTAATAGTGATAAGTTAGTGGAATCTGTGTTGACTGTATACTAATAGTACATTAAAATAGTATTGTGCCTCCTAATGTTTTAACTACCTTTGCTTCTATATTCGGGAAAGAAAAAAAAAACATTAATCTCGCATAGACGACGGGAATTTCAAGAAGCTTAGTCATCTTGAGCAGCAATTAAAAATCTCTTTGACTGTAAGTTACGACGATGGTGAACAGTCCCACACGGATGAATTCTAGTAATTCGTACCCTCCAATCTTGATAAAAAAAAGCTAGCAAAACAAGTGTCTGACATAGAAAAGAAAATACAAACCACCCAAGGAAGAATATCGTACCATATTGGAGCTGACACACTCTGATTCATATTAAGATAGACATTGAGCACTGCGAGAAACAAGATCACCCTGAGTGCTTCTTGCATTTCTCTAGAACAAAAAAAAAAACAAAATAGTTTTTAGCGCAAGATCTGGTATTCAATGCTGCACGCTCAAACGCTGACGGATACACCAATACGTGACCATGTATACGTGAAGCACTACTCGTGTTTGCCGTGATTAGCAAATCGTCGCTATTGCTTCATCTAGCAGTCCACAAATACACTTTTAAACGTACCAGTATCAAAATCTTTTTCAACAGCACTTAATGATGTTTTGTTTTCCGACGATGACTTTCCAGCGATCAGTGATTTTTATCTTCGTACCCAAATAAATATCATTGATTTTGTTGGAAGTACCAGTCAGGTACACATAACTAGCACTGATGGATAAATAAATAAACAATTACTCATCAACAATCATTATTAACACAGCATAAATTGTAACAGAATTGAATCCATAGTGGACTTTCTCCGTTTGAATTAAATGATTAACACTAACTCAAAATGATGAATGTTTGGAATTTATAAAATAATATATATATATATATATATATATATATATATATATATATATATATATATATATATATATATATATATATATATATATATATATATATATATATATATATATATATATATATATATATATGTGTGTGTGTGTGTGTGTGTGTGTAAATATATGACAAAGAAAAAAATGCAAAAATATGATTCATTGGCATCTGCCTAAAATGAAGGTTACAAATATACCATGCATTATGTAAAATGAGATTAACGTAATGTATTGTACACGTTAAGCTTTGAGATTCACAAAATCTCTTGAGATTGAACAGACATAGGAAAATGAGGAATACTTATAATGTAAACTGGAATATTCACTTGACAAACTGTCACTACTGTTTATTCATCATACAAACTGAAACTATGCAGTTTCACTAGATCTCTTTCTTATCGATCCATGTTCATATACATAACGGATCCCATATATGTATTAATTCCCATACATACATGTATTCATGCACATAGACGGCCTGCCGCAATACATATGGCTACATCCAACCATGGGTAGTTACAGTCAGCTCTTATCGGACACTGAATCTCCCATAAGACAACGTCAGCCCTAATGAAACATTGTCATCCCCAATAAGACAGCGTCAGCCCCAAAAATGTCCAATGAGCTCCAATAATTCTTATAATGTCCAATAATGTCTAATAGTGTTCAATAGATTCCCATAGTGTCCACGAAGCTCCTATAGCATCAACTAGTGCCCAATATTATCTAATATTATCCAAAAGGCTAAAACGAAACAAAACTATTTCATTACTAATATGGTAATAACAAAGCACGCAATGTAACAAAGCTTCATCACCAGACATAACATAAAAGTGAGAAAAGGTCTCACAAATCAAAAACAAAAGTTTGGTACTTCCCGCTATGGCCTGAAACGATAGTGGATAATACCCACACCACTGACAAAATCAAAATAATTTGTGCCTCAGTTCGAAATGAATCAATATTAAAATCCATAAGAGTTAATAATGGTTATGGTTAAATGTTCATGTATACCATGCTTTTCGGTGACTTTCCACCGCCGGTAATTTCGAAATCACTTTACCGGTAGAAGAGTGATTCACCCCCAGGTAATGTTGTATGCCTATACAACGATTAAAGGTGTAAAATATATTCAAGGCAAGACCAAGATATTTATAGCCTTATTCTGTGACAGAAATAAAATGTACAACTCAATCGAATTATAGCTAATACAATTCTACCGACGACCGCGGTGGTGTCCGCTTGTATAACGCTGCAGGAATTTGATGTTGTATTTCCTACCCTGATAACAGCACCGAACTTGCTCAAATGAGATTGTATTACATTTGGCCATTATACTTACCCGCGAATAATTCTCTAGTGTTGTCATACACAATCAAACCTGATTACTCGACAGACTGGAACGTCTTAAGAATTCTAACTGGCGCTTATGAAATCGAGCAGACCAAGGATGAATTTCAGAGCAGATTCAAGCAGTATAACCGGAAAAAATTCAAGATTAATGTTGATGCACCTATGCTCAGCGCCACAGTAGAAATATCAACTTCTGAATATCTCATTCATACGGAATAAACATTGAGCTGTTATGGTTTGAACGTGATCAGCTGACCACTTGAAGCAGTCTTTTGCATATAATCCTCCACATCTAGCATCGCAGAGATCATCGGATAATAATAAATGATAAGACAAATTATGAACAGTAACACAAAACAGAACAAAACATTAACACATGTCGTCTCAAGAGTCAGAGGGTAAAATCCGCCAGTGATATATATTAACCATGTTAGAGAATTGCGATGACATAATCAACACTACAATATTGTTTTTAACTCAAATTCTGGAATCCTGAGACGCAGCGGTTTTATCTTTGACGGATTTATCCTTAGCAACTTTAGACGCAATATCTTCTCACAATTGATTTGCTCACTCTCGCGATGCGTTTCTACATTCGTATTCATGTGACAGCGTTAGTCTAAAACTTTCAATCGCCATGGCAAGCGGAACAAATACAGCAACGTCACCCGCTGGTAGAGTCGTCAACGAATTTTACAAATCTGTTCTGACGGAGGTGTATATATTCCGGATAGTTGATTAGTTTGTAATTGCTCAATGTCGTCGCTGATTCGTTCGATCAGGTCTGGATGTAGCCAATCATTCAATTGGTCAATAGCGTTAATAATTGCGTCGACATTTTCTTGATTCATCTCTATAATAAAATAATTTGCATAAATGATTATTTATAATTCTGTTAAACGTCGTTGATGGCAGTGTATCCAAAAATGTCAATGGTGGCAGTATATAAATCCTTGTCAATTGGTTGCGTGTTTAATTGACAAGGCTGATAACTATATGACGAAAATCACGCACATTCAATTGTCACAATAAAGCTCAGACGGGAAATGTTTGTATTGATCATTGTGTACTCAGACAACAACGGTATTGCAAATAAATCTAATTTCACTTTTTGTGTTGTTTGTTTTTCTTAAGATGATAAGTTATATATATATATATATATATATATATATATATATATATATATATATATATATATATATATATATATATATATATATATATATATATATATATATGTGTGTGTGTGTGTGTGTGTGTGTGTGTGTGTGTGTGTGTGTGTGTGTGTGTGTTGCTAATGTATAAAGGTAATCGCGTTATAAAAAAATATAGTAGCATAACCTCTCCACTACCAGCAAAGACTTAATTCATATTATATTTTTTAGCCCTTTCGCTAAATTTTAACATGAAGTAAGTATTTATTGGATATTTATTAGCACAATAGGGACTCGAGTTAAACTGAAGCTGAAGATTAGTAAAATCTATCAAATCTTGATTTCTTCCTGAGCTTAGACACTCGGAATTGTTTTGTAACGAAGTGGATTTATGCGGGGGAACAATGAATAGATCTGACTGACTTCCTTTTGTTACTTGGTCAAACTGAAAGGATATGGTCAGGACAGGTAAGAAGTGTGGAATACCATTCAGTTTATTTTTGGCAATCAATAACAAAAACAGTTGCAAACTGCCGACGCGAAAATCACTGGGTTGACCTCACTGCTATTGCGGGGAAAGGAACCGCAGTCTCAAAAAATGATTGCATAACCTTTATTGCAATTATGGAGGATAAGGTAACACAGGCAAAAAAAAAAATGGTGACCTGCCCTGCTGAAATTGCCAGGAAAGTTCCTCCCAGCGGCGGAAACTGGTACGCCGGCCTTCTCTACTGCTACCTGGTTTGAAGACAAATTATAAATCTGAGGTGTGCATTCCTTTAGTCAAAATGTGAAAAGTTAATACTTTTAAGTAAACGTTGAGCATTAATTTTTATTTAAAACTGCATCTTAATTTTACACTTATTTCAATATGATTGTGTGTTATTTAGAATTTTAATGCAGCCTTAAGAATTTTTCAGTCGTATTACTACTACGTCCGCAGTGTCAGTTTTAAGTGATGTCTAGTTCTGAGCCAACATTCCGCAGACATGTAACATCATTTCCCATGTAGTCACTTTATTTTGATACCAGGTCGACCAAAACTATCACGAACCTATTAAAGCTGGGCGCCAAGTGAGGCAGTTATTACTACCATTTCTATAGGTCTTTGATATGACTCAGCCTGGTTTCGAACCCATGGTCTCCAGCATCAGAGGTTGACGCTCTAACCACTTAGGCCACCGGAGAAGTGCCTCACATAATGCCGTTGTACGCTTGCTAAACGGATGTCAAAATCACCCCTGCGTTTCATATTATGCCTATGAACCCCTGCTAAACGGATGTCAACATTGGCCCTACGTCTGAAACCATGCCTGCACCAGACATTGATTGTTAGTACCATTACAAATTTAGCTCTAAATCATTGGAGTTCACCCAGATCTAATTCACCAAAATAGAATCAATTTTATTCCACAATATTTTTTGTCATATATGCCTAACGATAATAACGATTCGAATATGTCTACTTCGTCTATATTTTATTCATAAAATGACTCCATCTTGGCAGCATTTGCTTCCTTGTTGAAATGGCTTAATTTGTATGGACAGAACAGACTATAAATGTACTACCGTAATAACATGTTTATTGGTATGGATTTACTCACCATTCAAACAACTAAAGAAACACATCTGATTTGGAAGTCACAACAGGTCTCGCATCAAAGAACTATCTATATGATCGAAACAAAATAGCGAAATGATGGGCGTTTACGTGTTTTATCAAACGTTTAACGCTATATACACAAATTACGCATTTGTGTAACAAATTGAATGATCAGAAGTTGTCCCTAATAAAGAAAGTCAGTCAGTAAAAGGCCAAGTAGGTGAATGAGTGAAATAGATAAAAAAAAATGTACGTACAATGCATTTTTTTCTTTCTTACTGTGTAACACAATCGTACAAATAGGATAGACCTTTATCATTTAGCAATTTCAGCGGTGATGTTTATTAAAATTTTTAATAGGCTATATATACCTGCAAATATTCAATGAGACCTTTACATTTACTTAATATTCTTCGCGACTCACATTTCTTTTATAAGCCACATACTCATCGGAATTTTTACACTTTTCAATACCACATGTTCGGCTGGACTCATTTGTTTAATAAGCCACACTTTCATCTGGACCTTTGCATTTGTTTAATAAACCACATATGAATTGGGACTTTTACATTTTACATGTTTGATGCTATTCTTCATTATTACATTTGTAAACATTTACTTTTAATAAGCAACATATAGCAATTCGCGTGTTGAGGTGCCTTTACAAGAGAGGGGTATTTGAAACGGTCTGAATAGTTTTCGAAACTTTTTGTTTCGGTTAAGCTGTCAATAAATGTAATGCAGATAAAACGACAAAATACCGTTCCATTAAATGATTCAGTAATAATATCATACAGGTTAGAGAATGTTTAATTTGTACTCTACTGAGATTTGAACCCAGGTCCGCGAGTAAACTGCAAACATTGCTTTGTCTGCACACACCAGCCTATATTCCATCACGACTAGACATGCATCACCAAAACATGATGCTAGCGAATCGGTGTTATATGCCGTCGTGCGTAGCAGGCACATTCGCATGACGACCTAGTAATTAATTCTTATCTCACAGTCATTCTGGATTCCTATGAAAGAAATCAAGGTATATAGGATTAATTGTAGAGAATTATAAAGATATATACCAAACAGAACATAAACAGCTATCTTTGGATTCATTAGAAAAATGCATGATAATAGTAGGCACAATTAATATTTAATACAAATAAGGCTATCATACAGGTTAGAGAATTTTTAATTCGTACTGCACGGAGAATCGAACCCAGTTCCGCCTTGCCTGCAAACATCAGCCCATATTTCATCACGTTTAAGCACGCATCACCAAAAAAAATGATGCCACTGAATCGATGTTATATAAAGTCCGACTTGCATCCATTTAAATACGATACCTTTGTCGCGACAAGTGGGAAGGATCTGATCAATATACAAAGATAAATAAAGAAAATTTAAAAATAAACATACAAATAATATAATTTTGTCTTCATTATCATAATAATCTATTTGGCTTTCTATTAAAATTATTTAGTTTTTCCATACGATTTGAAGTGTGGATGACGATACTATTTATCGGTACACAATAATGATATCGATATTCCCAGTACATTGCATGATCGTACTTATAAGTGTTACGCATAACATAAACGAATAAAGTCACATATATTAGCCTGAATATAAGGAAACCAATCGTGTAAGAATACTGCATTGACTGACCATCTATCTCTAGCAACCAGAATCTCAATGCATGATATAATGCGTCATATAAGTTTCCTCTCTGAGAGACTTCCAGTTTTCAGTAGATATCAGATATTCAATAAATAAAATAATGTGTTATATAAATTTCCTCACTGAGCGACCGCCTATCTTCAATAGATAGCAGATATTTAATAAATGAAATAACGTGTTACATAAATTATTTCACTGAGAGAACACCTGTCCTAAGAAATAATATCTACCTGACTGAAGGGTTGATTCCGCAAACAGGTTAAATGATGTACACTGTATTACAAAATCGACGTCTTGAATACATCTTACATCCAGATTAGAAAAGATTATGGGTGGATAGAGGCTTGAACACATATTTTCACAATAACGCGTCATGGCTATAACAGGCATACCTTTTAAATATTAGAAGGAAAATAGTGTATAATTCATACATCCGAAATGTTGTATTTTATATTTACATATTCCGATAAACTATTCAGTTAGTAAGTATATGATTTCAATATGCTAATACCTAGATAATATGCTTATTTGTTATCTACATGTAATTCACTTTATATCGCACCCCAAAAAATCAATATTTAATATAATAAGAAGTAATAAAATCCAAAGTTGTATTTGTTGGTCGTAAGAGAAAAACACAAAACAAAGAAAACGGATCTTTCCCTTGTTAGCTACTTTTGTTACCATTCCACACTTACGTATCTTCTTCAGCAACTGACGAAATAATAATTAACTAGTTTTATTGAATTTACACCATAAGCGATTTTTATTTGTTTCATGATAAATAATAACATAACTGACCTAATTTTACTTAATTTGTCTAGTTATTTGAAATTGACGAACATATATATCTTTTGTAAATATAGTTGTAATATAGGGAATATGAAACGGCTCAGCTATGTACATTGTTATAGCCACAAAATCATTATATACACTATTGTTGTATCTGTGACACTGCGACAAATATTGTTTTGTGTGGCTAACGCATTCTTCTTCATTCTTTATAATGTACGAACACACATTTTATATCTCAGGTCATTGTGAGACTGATAGCTTTAAAATGCTTTGCCAGCAGGAAAGGAGGACATGTGACCTTCTTTGCATTATCGATCGACGTGAATTATTGATATTGACTATCCATTTTAGTTCCTAGACCTAATCTAAATTCACTTAAATCTTAATAGGAACATCGTTTGACTTTATTCTATAAACAGATGATAAATAATGTCCATCATTCAAGATCCTACCTCTCACACTGCCAAGGGTATTATTGATGAATTTATATTATTTCATCTTCTCAAATAAGTCGACACAATTTTAATGAATACATATCGTTTACAGACACTTCACACGTGCATCAACCCAGGAATAATTAAAAGCAAAACAAATATGGATCCGTCGTTACTTTTATCTTTCTTTAGGTTGAATTCGTTGTATACATCTACCTTACTTTGAAATACACTTGCTTTCTTGAAAGCGAATCTGGCACTTAAACGGTGAACAAACTGTGTTTTGCATAAGCTATATATTTCGCATTGCGTCAAATATTCTTTGAATATATCGGTCTCCCATGACATTATCAAAAAGCGGATAATTCTTGTCACGATTGCACTTAGCGGGTTCGTTATAAAACGTTAGCTTCAGATTTATTTATTTTTAAGTTCTCATCAGAAACTTGCTATACATTTTCTGGCACACTGTAGATAGTTTAAGACCAACTTTCAAACATCCAAGACTCAAGGAGATAGTGTTGTCCATCAAAGTGTAATAACAATTATGATGGGATGGAAAGTTACTTCCATTGGATGGATTGGGATTTGCGTGTTTATCGGAAAACTAAGTTTAAACAAAGGCAAGTAAAATTCTCTCTCTCTCTCTCTCTCTCTCTCTCTCTCTCTCTCTCTCTCTCTCTCTCTCTCTCTCTCTCTCTCTCTCTCTCTCTCTCTCTCTCTCTCACACACACACACACACACACACACAGAGAGGCAATCACACACCCACATACACTTTCTTTATTTATTTGTCAAGGTCGAAAACTTTGCTCAAGATTCTTAAATTCAGAGTCTAAGGACGATGACGCAAGGATCCAATACCGATCTTCTTAATTATTGCTTGAATTGATTGATGCGAAATTGGAGGTACTACAATATTGCCCCGAAATATCCCAATAATAGAAAGCAAGCAGAAAGATTTATGAGGTTTGTTGCTAAGCACTAAATAAACCTATGTTTTAAAGAATGAAAATTGCAAAATTATTTTAAAAAGCTTTACTTAAAGGGGAAGACATATATAGGGACGTCAAGACTTTCCGAAAACGAAATTGCCTATAGTAGGTTTAATAAAGGACAAGTTACTCAGCTTTCTATTGAAAGAAGTATATTTAATAATATCAAAATCGCCAAAACTTATAATGAAGATGAAATTAATTTCCCACTTAATGACACATGATACTAACATGAACGTAATAGATGCTGAAAAATTATTTATGAATCAAATCTTGACTTACAGCAGAATTAAATTTATTTGGCTACTATTAATTAAAAAAATACATGACCGAAAAATTGGCAGACCATATTTATATTTAATTTCAAATAAGATCTCTTAAAAGTTTTAAATAATAGACTGATATACAAAGAAGCACGTTGTCTAGATTTATTAGTCAATCAATCATAGTTACATACATAACTATGATATATGCATGTATGTATACATACATATGTTTACATATATGCATACATATGTATGTACGCATGCATACGTACTTACGTATGTACGTGCGTGCGTGCGTGCGTGCATGCACACACACACAGACACACACACACATACATACATACATGCATGCATGCATGCATGCATGCATGCATACATACATACATACATACATACATACATACATACATACATACATACATAC